CCGTTTGAAGGAAACCCCTATCTCCTACGTAAGGTTTTCAAATGTGTTTCATTTGAGTTCAAATACTCTTAAATAATCTACCTGCAGACCAAATTTAAGATATATGCTAGCGTGAATTAAGAATGAGTTATACTTCTTTTTCTTATTCATTAAGGATACTTGAAGATTCAGGTTATTCGTCTGGTTAAGGATTATTATTTGCCCTTTAGTGGCATTCTTTGATTATATTTCACCCTGTAAACTTTTGCTCGTTGTCTAGAGCATCACATTCAAATCAAGGATTATTTATGATTTAAAGCAATAATAGACAGTTTAAATTGTGTTTTTTATTTCAATATTTCTATCGTATTAGCTTCTTTATATAGATAAATTAACTTAATCCTTATTGTTCACCATTAATTATTCGCATATTTTTTTAGTTTTCCCAGGATACTTCTTCGAGACAATCGGCTCAGCTGCTTGCTCAAAATTGGTTGGATAGAAACTACGAGTTAGGCCATTTGAGTCCATATGACTATCATACTCGAATTCGGGAGTTAAAACAGGCAGTTCGCTTCGGCATTGATTCTGCTTCCTCTTGCACTGATGGTAAGTTCACTTTGTGTGGATTAGCTGATATTGGCTGGAATTCGGGTGAAAATGCTTATTATTTTTATAGAGATATATTTAGCCTACGTAATTCCCGTTTATAGTTAAAAGTTATGGTGGCCTGATTTGTAGGTTCATATCATTGCGCACAGAAGTTGTTTTCAGCATAGCTAAGTTTTATTGACGTGATTCGTATTTGATATCATTGCTCTTCATTTCATACTTCCTCGATACGCCATTAAATAGCATTCCTTAAAGCACTTCCAATGGAAACTTTGCCAATATAGTCACAGGGATATTCATCTTTGCCGTGAGGCGGCGTGGCAGAGTTATTCAATTAAAACCTTTATTTCATTTTCTTACTCCTCCACGCATCCTCGCTGGGTACTATTATCTATACTTCCCTAAATAAATTTCAAACGTTATCATTCTTTACAAAATAAATCTTGATATGAGGACCACTAGGGCTTGGTCTTACTTTTGTTAGCAGTTCTTTTGGGCTCCATAATGTTGGCTTGGTCTTGTCTTCTTAACTTTGTGTGATCCACAAGTAGTTCCTTTGGGACATACGTAGTCTTGTATCCCATTGCATAGCGTTTATGATAATTTCCGGCATTAGATCGTTAATTTGATGCATTTTCAGGCGTTTCGCTGGTATCAAGGACTGGGATCGAGGACTTACGGACGCAGTTAAACATAGATTTTTATGTGCAGCAGAGAACAGCTTGCAAGGTAGATGGAGGGGCTAAATTGGAATGTTGATTGTGCTCCATAAGTTCTATCAGCGGCATCGTAATCCTATGGTGAGGATAATTATGCCTCACTAGATCCATTTGAAGTGACACTTATACGAATTTAGGGAAAAAATACGGATAGATAAATGGGCCATATAAAATTGTATTGAGGGGTAGGGGAACAGGACAGGGGGGAGGGAAGATGCGACAATGGCAGAACATAAAACTGTCCAAGAAGATTGCCTTCATTTGCCACTGACAAATTTGCTTTTTTTTACTTATGGCGTCTTCCACCTATAATGCCAGCGAAATGTTTGGGGATATACTGAGTCAACGGTCTGATGCTGGAAATTATCATGAATACTATGGTTAAGAATGCAAGATTAGGCATATTCCACAAGAGTTCTCTGATGCCTGGACCACGTTTCAAAAACTAGTTTGAATCAACACTTGATAAAATAAAGCCTGTTACTGCTTTCAACATTACACTGTCCTTGCCCCAGGGAAAACTTGAACACCATGCCAATAGTGGCTAAAATTATTTAATACGTGAAGCATTGATGAGTTAAGGTAAGAGCTACCCAGAATTTGTTTGATAAGTAGCTCTCAAGTGGCCGCTCTGTAGAAAACCTCCCATGCTCTCGGTTATCCTACACTGAAGTTTTATATAGAGCTTTCTAGGAATTCATTGCAATTCCTTTAATTGAATTGACAGCTCTCACGGCTATGAACAACAAATGTACCCTAGTCCAAATTATTTGAAGGAAATGGGTCAATATGAAAAGCTTAATTATATTTTGAAGTGGGCTGACCTCGTTTTCGCAGCTTTGTCCTGTTGTCAAGGCGACTTAATGCAACGCACTCTGCCATAGTAGTTATAATTCCCAGCATCGGACCGTGGACTTGGTACATCCTCAGACGTTTCGTCAGCATCATCAGTGAATGTGGCTATTTACGCACCAAGCTACAAACTCATCAGAGGCAAGTGAAGTCAATCACTCGACCAACGTGCCGAAAACCATTACACTATCACTCCTATTTCTGTCCAAATCCAGTAATAGTGTAACCCTTTTCGGCACAACGTTGTTCGAGGGATTGATTTCACTTGTCTATTCGACCAGTTCGTAGCTTGGCATGGAGAATGACAACACTCTGATGATACCTGCGAAATGTCTAATACTGTTCCAAGTCCACGGTCTGATGCTGGGAATTATGATGACTACTATGGCAGAAAACT